AGAGATTATTCAGTGCCCGGGCGATACCTGATTGACTATCACAGTGTACACGTATTGCCGGGACTGGTTTCTCCCACATTGGAATATCTTCCAAGAAATTTCTGAGCCATTCGGCCTCCTCTGCAGCTTTGTTTACAGCTATAAATTCAGACTCCATGGTTGATCGGGCCAATAGAGTTTGTTTGGAAGACTTCCAAGAGACTGCTGCACCACCTAGGGTAAAAACATATCCACTTGTGGATTTCGAGTTTTTGGTGTCAGATATCCAGTTTGCATCATTGTATCCTTCCAAAACCGCGGGTTCTCTCCCAGAGTGCAGCCCATAAGTTTTAGTGTATCGAACGTAATTTAATACTCTAGTTATGGCTTTCCAGTGTTTGTGTCCTGGATTACTTGTATAGCGACTGAGTACATTTATCGCGTGTGCTAGATCAGGTCTAGTACAATTGGTTAAGTACATAAGGCTACTTATTATCCTTGCATACTCTACTTGTGACACTGCTTCACCTGAGTTTTTGGTCAAGTGAAGTTGAGAGTCAACAGGAGTTTTTGAAGTTCCATTTGAATAGGTTTTGAACCGTTCAAGTATCTTTTCAGCATAATGTGCTTGAGACATGGTAATCCCATCAGAAGTTCTTGTGATTTGTACCCTGAGAATGACATCTGCTAGGCCCATGTCTTTCATGTCAAACTGTGCACTAAGCATGTTCTTAGTTTGTTGGATTATGTCATTATTGTTGTCAATAATTAACATGTCATCTACATATAAACATAGTAGGATATATCCATTAGGGGTCATTTTTATGTAAATGCATTTATCACATTCATTTATGCTGAAGCCATCTGACATCATTGCATTGTCTAATTTTTCATGCCATTGTTTTGGTGCTTGTTTAAGTCCATACAATGACTTCACAAGTCTACAGACTTTGTGTTCTTGTCCCGGGACTACAAATCCTTTGGATTATTTCATATAGATTTCCTCGTCTAATTCACTGTTTAGAAAGGCTGTTTTGACGTCCATCTAGTGGATTTCCAAATTTCTTAAGGCTGCAATTCCAATCAGCATTCTGATGGAAGTTATTCTCGTTACTGGAGAATAAGTGTCAAAGAAATCCAGACCTTCTTTTTGTCGGAATCCTTGCACTACAAGTCTAGCTTTATATTTCTCAACTGAGCCATCGGTCTTCAATTTCGTTTTAAAGATCCATTTGCAACCTAGAGCTTTAAACCCTTCAGGTAAATCAGTGAATTCATATGTATGATTTTGTCTAATGGAATCCATCTCACTATTGACTGCTTCCTCCCAAAGAGGTGCATCGGGAGTGGACATAGCTTCAGTAAATGTTCTTGGTTCATTCTCGGTAAGAAAGACCATCAAGAATTCAGGACCGAAAGATTTTTCTTTACGAGCTCTTTTGCTGCGTCTAGGTTCAATCTCGTCGTCTTCTGAAGCTGGAACACCAGATGTGGTTGCCTCATCTTCCCGAGGACGTTTTACATTTTTTCTATTCTTGCACGGAAAAATGTGTTCAAAAAATGAGACATTTCTTGATTCCATTATTGTATTCACCTGAATATCCGGTACATCTGATTTGTGAACAGAAACCGATAAGCACTACTGTTGCGTGCATATCCAATGAAAATACAATCAACAGGTTTTGGTCCTATGGTGACCTTTTTAGGAGGTGGCACAGCGACCTTTGCTAAGCACCCCCACACTTTCAGGTATTTGTACGAAGGTACTCTACCTGTCTATATTTTATATGGCGTTTTGCCAGTTACTTTGTGCGGTATTTTGTTGAGGATATAGTTTGTAGTGAGAATTGCTTCCCCCCACAGATTCTGGGGTAGCCCAGATTCCTGCAACATTGCATTCATCATCTCTTTAAGAGTTCGATTTTTGCGTTCCGCAACTCCATTAGATTCTGGTGAGTAGAGAGTGGTGGTCTGATGTATAATGCCTTTTTCTAGACAGAAAATATTGAATGGACCATCATATTCGCCACCTCTATCACTCCTAACAATTTTAATAGTTTTACCGAGTTGATTTTCAACTTCAGTTTTATATTCTTTGAATTTCTCCAAGACTTCATCTTTACTTCTTAGTAAATAGATGTAACAGTATCTTGTACAATCATCAATGAAAGTTACAAAATACTTTTTACCTCCTCTAGATTGTACTAACTTTAAGTCGCACAAATCTGTGTGTATGAGGCCTAGAGGTTCGGTAGTTCGATCAACATGAGGAGATGGAGTTTTTGTGAGTTTTGCTTGTACACATGTCTCACATTTATTTTTGCTTATTTTGCATTTGGGGAATAAGTTCGAATTTATTAATCTTTGTATAGATTTATAATTCACATGTCCTAATCTTTCATGCCATAAATCAAAACACTCAACCAAGTAAGAAGATTCATTCTTATTAATTGAACTGGTAGAAGGTAAATCATTTTTGAGGACATTCATTACACACATTTTTATTAAGTCCTCCTTAACATAACCCTTCCCAATAAAAACCTCATGTTTCCTTAAAATCAGCTGGTTAGATCTAATGCGGACGTCGAATCCGTGCTTGTTGATCATGGTTCCAGAGATCAGGTTTTTCCTCATTTTTGGCACATGCTTCACATTGGTGATGGTGACTTCTTTTTCCGAAGTCATCTTTAAGACCACATTGCCTATGCCTTCAATCTTGGAGTATGACTCATTTCCCATCAACAAGTGCGCATTGTTCTTGCATTTTTTGTAGGTTGAGAACTGGTCTTTGTCCATGCAGATGTGAGTGGTTGCACCAGTGTCATACCACCACGTTTTTGGTTTTGGCTCAACCATGTTGACTTCTGTGACCATTGCACACAGATCAGCTTGAGTCAAGTTGGCTTGACCTTTGTTCTCCCTCAGCCTGCTTCGACATTCATTGGAGGTGTGTCCCTTCTTGTTGCAATAGGTGCACTTCCCAACAAATTTGGTTTTGGGAGTTTCCTTTTTGAAGGAAGTGGATGATGATGGAGCAAACTTGTTTTGCTTTCCTTTGGGAGGAAATTTCCCGTTGCCTTTGACTTTTCCTTTTCCCTTGTTCTTGAACTCTGCTACATTTGCATTGTAGGAGTGAAATGGTTCAGGGTTCACAGGCGCGGCAGCTTTTACCTCTCGTTTCAAAGACTCATTTTGCAGCATGGAAATTAGATTTGACAAGGTCATAGACTTCTGCTTATGATCCAGATAGTTTCTGAAGTCTACCCAGCTAGGAGGTAGCTTGTCGACGAAGCAATTCACTATGAAGGTTTCACAGATCTTCATTCCTTCATCAGGGATTTCTTGAAAAATCATCTGAAGTTCATGGACTTGTTCCATGATGGGCCTTGAGTCCACCATCATGTACCTCGTAAATTTGGAGGTTGGTGAGATACCTATCCAAATGCAGTGTGCACAGGAAAAAGTGCATCTTTTGCTGCCACTGTTTGAAGTTGGTACCATCAAACTTATTCGGTGAGATACCTGCAGTGATAGCGCTGGGTAAAGTCGGAATGTTTGTGGGCAGGGATCCGAGTGCTGCATCTCCAACCGCTAAGGGTGTTGATTCAGCGACATCCTCTTGTCTTCCATCAACGGATTTCTCCACATTTTTCGACATCTGTTCCAAAAAAGAGACAGAAAAAAAATGTCAGATTCGTTGAATAGAATCGATGGAATAGCGATTAACAATACAAGTCGCTAATTTTTGTGTTCTGCGAAAACGCTATAGAGCGGTCATAAAATCGCGTTTAAGTTTTGAACTTGAAAAAACGTTCAGGGATTTCCCCGAGACGATTTACAGACGCGGAAAGGAAGTTATAAAAACTGTCTTTGTGTGGTCCAATAACGTTTCGCGTAACTTGCCAAAGGCATTCGCGGAAACGGTTTTTTGTTTGTAAAAAAAAAATCGTTTTATCCTTAAAACGTTTACTGAAAATCTCGTGTAAAGCAATATAGGATCCGATTCAAGCGATAAGCAGGATCGGATTATTTTGAATTAAGACTGTAGGAAGTAATTTAGAGGAAACAAATATTGCAATATAAGAAAACGATTTGAGATACAGAAAAACGTTTTATAAAATCGGATTAAGGAAAAACGAGAAGTGGAGGCGAGATGATCTCTTTCCTTAATTCAAAATATCTCCCGCAGTGTGGCGGTTGGATGAGATAATGAATCGCAGGATACAACCACTAGTATTCGTATAATCGCAGCACCCGATTCTAGAATGTGACGAACTAATATTCTACGATATACTCTCGAACACTTACTCTTGAAAGAAGAAAAGAGACGCGAGAGATTGGGGAAAATGTGAACGACTTTTTGTCTGTAAATTTTTGAGATAAGTGAGTGAAAAATGGAGAGGAGAAGTCGATATATATAGCGAAGGAGAGAGGAGCGTCGCACTTAATCAGCGTGTTAATAACGTGATTAATTGTGCGCTAATGACGTGATTTAAGCGTTAATCTTGGCGTGATTTTCGGGATAGACATTTGACTGCAGGTTAATGTCGTGATTCTGTCAAGAATTTGAACCGAAAACTTTAGCAATTTGGGTCAGAAATGTTGACCAAAACTTGGCTCAAAAAGAACATCTTTTGTGGGCCCAAGACCCACATTCACCAAGACCCGAGCTCGAGCCGGGCTCGGCTCGGCGGCAGCGGCGTGCGAGGAGTCCTTGATTCTCCTTCACACACTTTGAACTATGTCATGTGTGTATCTATATTTATATGGCTCCATATTCTTCAAAACCATCGATGTGGGACTTTTAGCTTTCCTTAACATTTAAGTTTGCTTTAGAATGCTTATTTTTATTCACACTTACCAAATAAAATAACTTTTTGGGCTTTGAAGATTATTTGATCCAACATCTGTAATGGAAAAAAACTCTGATGTAACACTCAGAGTTGTTCTTCTTTTACAACTATAGAGCCGTACAACCACAATACTGAAAAGCTGGATTAAATCTCTTGTAAAATCATAACTTAGTAAAAGTTCAGATTTGCTTCTTTTATCAGAGGTGTATGTTTTATCAATAGTAATCTAGTAAGCAGTCCCTTCAAAGACACACCCTTTGATGATGCTACTAAGAAGCTGTCGAGAGCAACGACATCAACAAGTACCCTCCATGAATCAGAGCTAAAATCATAAATTTCATCCCCAACGGTTTTGTTGTTTTGGTGGTAACACCTCAAAATTTTGAAGCTATGGCAAAACTTGTTGTTTTCGTAACCTAGAACAAACCTAGAGAATCTCTCGTTATCAGTTTTGGTTTGGATCAATCTAATTTCCCCCAAACATGGATTCCAAACCATGAGTCTATCCTGGTTGGTAGTGCATAACAACAAACCTCCACAGTGAAAAGCTTCGACTATTTCCACTTCTTCTAAATTAGAATGAGAATTCTCTAGGCCAAGTGGAACCTTACACTCTATAGATGAATCAGCGAAGTTGAGAGTTTTGAGACTGTCGCTCATGGAAAAAATTCTAGAGTCCATCAACATGAGAACCAGTGACTGCTTAGGAGCTTTACGAGCAGTGAATCTTCTGTTTTTGAATAAAGCATTCCATCGTTTACAAGTATATCGTAATCTTGTCAGAGATGATGTGGTAGGAACCGTAGAGAATATTTCTTCTAACAAATCAGACGGGAGATCGGACATTATCACTGTGATCTTCCAAGGAAGAAGAAAACGACTTGGGGGCGAAACTGTTAGTTGATAATTGAGTTAGGGTTTTAATTTTATTTTTAACGATAAAACTCTAAAATAACTAAAATGAGTGCCGAGCGTAAACAAAAACCATCAATCGATTTTAGAAAAAATCAAATCCAATAATTTCATATTAGCCCAATAATAAACAAAATTTGGTACCATTATTTTATTCTTTAGGAAAAACTTAACTTGAACCAATATAAAAATAGTAATAGATTTTTAATAAGAGACAAAAAATAATTAGTCACTTTAAGATTGAATAAGAGGGTTTACAACTACAATTTTACTTTACTTATACTATATATAATAACATTATTTCCTTTTTTTCCTTTCATTGTTTTTATTTTTAACTTTTTTGTTTGGTTGCAAACTTTTTTCGAATGTGTACCACTCCTTGTTTTTTTTTTAAATGAATCGTTTGGTTAAATTAGATTCCATTTCAAGTATGGTAGATTCATTTTTTTAACCAAACCAAAAAAAAAAAGTGTATAGACTGTTGACAAAAGAAAAATACAAACATTGAAGTATGTGTTTGTTTATAATTTTTTTTTATAAAAGTTGTTCTATTTGATTAGTTGAATTACTGTGATAATTAAAGGTTACTAGAATATCCGGTAAATAAAATATTTAACCAATTAGGGATTAAGCACAGAGGAAATTGTTTTGACCTTTAATAATGTAAAATTATTTTGTCAAAACAATTATTTTGTAAAAATATTTATTGTTATAAAGTTTATAATAAAAAATACATATTTTTGGGCTGAATTGAGGTTGTCCATATAAGTAGTCATTTTTATCTAAAAAATAAGTTAATCTGTGTATATGAAGTTAGTCATATTATTTATGTAAACTCAGTACCATTGGTTTTTGGCTTTTCGAACCGTTCTAGATACTTAGGCTATTGAAAAAAAAAAGTTATTTTTAGCAGAAAAAGATACATGTGGATCACCTAAAATACTCTCTCGTAAATTATAGTTTTTTTCATATTAATATAATGATGATTGCATTCTTTTATATATTTTTCCATATATCCATTCTTTTGTAAATTATTTTATTTTTCTAAAAAAATTTTGTCCAATTTACTATTATTTAATATCTGAAACTTTGGCCAACAAAATTTTATATGGTTCAGTCAATTAATGTATAAGGTTTAATTATATAATATCCTATAAATAAAAATTAATTTATATAAATTATTATGTAATATCTTATAAATTAAAGTTCATTTATGTAAATGACTGTTTTTTTAGGATTAGTAAATGTTCAGATTATCGATTATCTGCTGACTTAATTAACAAAAAATATTAAATCAGGAGTAATGGACACATATCTACGAAAATGACACGAAATTGGAACAAAATAGAACATCCATGTGGCCCGTGGGCCGTGGAACATGACGACAGACCAACAAAATATACTCATTGTTTAGAGACAATTTTGTTAATTTTTTTTTTTTTTTTAAATCAGTAGAAACTTCAAATTCCTTAACTTTAGTACAACAAAGAAGCAAACGAAGCGAAAATGAAGCAATGTAAACCTTTTTAATTTCATTGTGCGTGTGTTTTATCTAGAATTTGGTTCGGGTTAAGCTCGGATAGTTTGATTATAAAGAGAATTAGTTGCCTTTCACGAACATCCGATAAAATCATAACGATAGTATATTCCTATATCCTTTCCCAATACATGTATCGGCCGAAGGTGGAACATTGGTTATTGACCTTGAAGGTCGTTCGATATCTTAAAGGCACACTTGGGCAGGGTATACTTCTCTGCGCTGAGTCGAATTATCATGTTAGTGGCTCGTATGACTGAGACTGGGCATCATGCCCTTTAACAAGACGACCTCTCACGAGATATATTGTTTAATTTGGTTCATCTCCTATCGTGTGGAACTAAGAAACAGAACACGGTCTCTCGTTATTCCACAGAGGCAGAATATTGTGCTATGACAGAGCTCACCTCAGAGTTCTGTTGGATCAAGACTTTACTCAGCAAAATGGGAATGGATTACATATATGTCTCTTTTTTATGATAGTAAACCTGCTTTACACATCAGTGCTAATCCAGTGTTTTATGAGGAGACTAAACACGTTGAAATAGATTGCCATTTTGTTCGATATGATATCTTCCACAGACTTTAAAAAAAAATATCTTCCACAGACTGATCAAACCTGTTCATGTATCTATTAAGGACCAGCTTGCTGATATACTCACCAAGGCATTGGAGAAGGAGTTTGATGCATTTCTGCTCAAGTTGGAAATTTCCAATTTGTATGCTCCAATTTGAGGGGGTTATTCAGATATATAGAATATCTCTAAGCATATTTTGTGTATATTAATATATTCTTTTTCTGGTTTAGGTAAACCTATATATATATATATATATATATATATATAAAGAGGTACAGACATTCAAAGAATACAAGAGAAAATTTTCCCAATCTAGTTTGCCACATACAAATTGAAAAATGGTCTATAAAAAAGATAATTAGCTACCAAATTTTACCACGAGAGATACTTTCGTGATATACTTATGTAGCTTGTACATATCTCTCTATATATAGCCTATGTAATTAGGCAAATATATTTTTATCAGATTTGTGAATCTCTTGGAAGTTAAGTTAACTTTTTTTTATCCGATGAAATACACAAAAACTTGTTACTTTCTTTTAAAGTTTTATGATATAGTATCAGCAGCTTACATAAACTACGTTCTTTGATTTTTTTTTTTTGGACTTTTTAAATATACCGTTAGAGACTTATTGTGGCTTTGAACATGAGTGGCGATTGACATGCAAACCTCTCCATCTAATATTAGTTTCATGAAGCAGTCGAGAGGAACGTCATTAGGAACACTCCATGATTTTCAGAGCTTATATTCATAGATTTCAAAACCAACAACTTTTTCATTTGGGTCGTAACAATTTCCAATACCTCAAAATCTTGTCGCCAAGATTGTTATAGCTAGCTAACCCTAGAGCTCCTCATATAACCAATTTCGGGTATTGATCCACAGGACCACAGGATCACATGCATGGTTTCATCTAAAGACAGATTCCAAACCAAGAGTTTATTGTCCCTATATGGTGCATAACAACAAACTGTCGCAACGAAACACTTCGATTATATCGACTTGTTTTGAATTAGAGTACTTTAGGCCAAGTACTGACATTGAAATTGACGCTCAATATGAAAAATCTTTTCGATGAAGCCTCGTCTTTGAATAAAGCGTTCCTCTAACAAATCCTGGGGAGGATCGGACATAATTATCGTTTTTTCTTGTGATCTTCCAAGGAGAATAAAATGGCTCTAATTAAGGTTTTGATTTTTTTTGTTCACGTTTGCTCTAATCCATTCTTGTTTTGTAAGAAACGATACTCTTTCCTTTTCCTATGTGGATCTGTTTTTAATTTTTTGCTTTGAACTTTTCTTTCTTTGCAATTAACTGTAACAAAAATAAATAAATTCTTTGACTATCAAATAATTTAATCATCATAGATTTCAAATGTAACCATAGTCACATAAGAGTTGAGAGCTTAAGCAATATTAGAAACCATCTATACAAATGTAATGGAAACTAACCGATATAAAACATAAATACACGATATTTAAATTTTGATGGCACTAAGAGCACCTCCATTGAGGGCTTATAAGAAGTTTATGGCACAGATACATATGGGCTGAGCCTTTTTAAATTATTAAAAGAGGTCCAAAAGTTAACATACAGGCGTTTAGTTAATATACTTTGAGAAGAGGTTTATAGGACACGTGGCAATATTGTATTGGCCGCGTATTTTTCTACTTTTTTGAGGGAGAAGCCCACTTTTGTTTGCCCGATATCATTTTCTCGATAGGAAACGAAAAAAAATCGAAACCTCATTCTCTCCGGCGATCTCCGGCGATCTCCGGCGATTCTGCGATTATTGAACTCCTCGAAGAAAAATTTTGACGATGAAGACAGGTGTTTGTCGACTCCGGTTGCAAAGGTAATCGTCTGTTTCTCTTGTTTTTTGTTTTAGCGAGTAGAAATTTTATTGCTGCAAAATTAGGGTTAGTGAGTCTGGGGATTTTTGGGGGTTTCTTCATGATCTCAAACAACCGATATGGTACTTAGTGATTTGCGAAAGGGAACATGTTTAATTGCTTCAAATTTGCGAAATTAGGGTTTTACGATTTGGGGAAAATTGGGGGCTTTTTAATTTCTGGGAAATTAAAGACTATGTTCGTTTGATTTGTTGTGAAGTGTGGCTTAATTGATGTTGCTGAGCTCGGTGTGTTAGGGTTTATGTACAAAAGGGAAATTCCGATAAGTTGGAGTGATTTTATTAGATGAGTTCGTCGTTATATTGTCAGGAAATGCCGATAAGTTGGAGTGAACCCAGCTCGGAAGGTCCTGAAGAAGACATGGCATGGGCCTACGACGATGCAACATATGGGATAGCCGAAAAGTGTTTTTGTGGTCGGCGGATGATCATTGAAAGAATAGGCATTGTAGGGACAGATACACCAGGCCGCCAGTACTACACATGCCCTGACTGGTTGAATGAGGTGAGAACTGTTTCATTGTTAGCGTTTGAGTATGTTATATAGTTTGGTAATTTGTACTGACGTATTTTTTGGTTTGCTCGTGGTATATTCTTTATTGAAGGGCACAAACCCTGCGCACCACAGGTGGCAGTGGTGGGACGAAGCGGTCACTGAGGAGTTGGATAGGCTGCGGACCGAGCTTGATGAGCATAAGGCGATCCTACAAAGGGTGGAGAGAGATCAGGCGTTTAATCCACCCCTTGGAGAAATAAAGGAGGAGGTGAGACAGCTTCAAGAGGAGGTTGGAAGGCTGAAGGCCCATAATGCGAACCAAGGTGATGGCTATCTGATGGTCTTTTTGTTTTTAGGTTTAGCATTCATTTCCTATCTGTTTAACTAGTGTAGTTTAGTATGATTAAAGGCCTGTAGTAGTAACCGTTCGTCTCTGTTTAAAGACTATGGTTGTGTTGTCTTTTTTTAGTAACCGAATGACTATGAGAGGATTTGTAATGTTCTTTTTAGACTATGATATGCACTTTCTGGTTGTTTAAACATAATGCGAAGCTCTCAATGTCATTAAGTACCCCATTGCGTGGTAGGTAAAAAAGGTAAACCCCCTCCCTGGTCTTTTAAATGTCTTTCATATCTTCTTAAATGAACTCAACAAATCGTTTTTTTTTCTTTTGTGAGGGGAAAAGGAGGCAGCTTCTCGGGATGCTTCCTTCAGTGTAACCAAACCATGTCTTCAAGAAGGTTAGTTCGTTTATAGTGTTAGTAGTTACGATAAATAGTTATGTTTTAGGAGTAAAAGCTTGGTTGGTTTAGTGATAAATGCTTGGTTGATGTGATCGGTGGTAGATAGGGTTTAATGAATGCGTTTATGGACATTGTTAGGTGATGTGGTTGATTGCTGTTATTAATTAAAGTAGTGTGCTCAATGCTTCACAAATTAAACACAATCGCTAAAAAACCTTTGTACAAAACTTAAACTTCTTCTCTTTCTCTTCACAAATAAACCCATCCACAAACTTAAACCTATGAACTAAAAACACAATCGCTAAAACACAAACTTCTTCCAAAATCTCAAAATCAGAAAACTAAACTTTCTTGTCTGGAAAACTAAACCCATCCACAAACTGATGGATTCTCAGAATCGGTTTACCAGCTCTAAAGGGTTTGTTAACCTCTTATCTAGACAAGTAGGTAATGAGAGTTACTCACCCATCATCGAGTTCGGATCATCTCAGTTGCCTCAGTTTAGTAGTCAACCTACACGACCTACTGAGGAGCGTAAAGAACGGCGAAAATGGAGCCCGAAAGAAGATGTCATGCTCATCTCTGCAATCTGCATGGCTGAACACTAGCAAGGATGCAGTGGTGGGAAACGAGCAAAAGGCTTCCAAGTGACCTTCAAAAACAGTCTCGGATATGTTGGACCACAAGAAAGAGAGGTTAGCCACGTGAAGCAGCATTGGGGAAGACTGAATGATCACGTCTGCAAATTTGTGGGCAGCTACGAAGCAGCTGTGAAGCAGCAGTCTAGCGGCCAAAATGATAATGATGTAATGAAAGCGGCGCATGAAATTTTCTACAATGATCATGGGATGAAATTTGCATTTGAGCACGCTTGGAGGGAGTTAAGGCATGATCAAAAATAGTGCTCAACGACTGCTAGAAAAGAAGCTGGAAGGTCTAAAAGGAGGAAGGTCGAGGAGTCCTCACAGCAGGGTACAACTGATGGTGCCGGAGGTGATGTCGCAGAGGGTCGTCCTCCTGGGGTTAAGGCTGCGAAAGCAGGGAGAGGCAAAAGAGCAGTTAAAGATGATGGGAAGGAGATAGTCGAGTTGCAGAACTTGTTTGACCTTAAAAAACATGACATGGAAATGAGGGAAAAGCTCTCAACCCAAAGAACGCTTAATGCTCTGCTTGCACGAACAGATCCACTAACTGAAACTGAACTAGCTGTTAAGGAGAAGCTCATGCTTCAGTTGCTGGGTTGAAATGGTTTATGCTAAGTGTAAGTGTTCAGAACATTATTAGTTGTTCATATCTCTTACATGATTGCTTGTTGGTTTATTGTTATAGTTCAATCGTTCATATCTCTTACATGATTGCTTGTTGGTTTATTGTTTGGTGGTGTGCAGATTCCTGAAGTGTCCGAAGTTTTCCAGCTGGAGACACCCAAAAAACGACAACACCAAAAGCACTCCTTTGATGATTTAGAATCTTTTTTTGTTATGTACTTCGCTTTTGTTGTTTTCAGTCATGGACCATTGTTTTTTTTCCAGTCACGGGACATTTGCTTTTAAACGTTGGCCTCTACTTTTTCCTGTAACTGAACGATTGTATGCCACTAGGTTAACCAATTATTTGGTTATTGAACTTTAATGTTATCTACGGAGTTTGATTGCTTCTCTATATATATATATGGTTTACAATGTAAAACACTAGACTTCGACTTCTTCTCTTTAAAATTCACTTCTTGTTTTCTCTTATTCCAAATTAAACTTCTTCTCTTTCTCTTGTTCCAAATTAAACTTCTTCTCTTTCTCTTATTCCAAATTAAACTTCTTTCCTTGTACCAACTTCAACATCTTCTCTTTCTCTAGATCAACTACTCTTCTTTTCTTCTTCTTCTATTGTCTCAATAGATGGCGTCATCTTCAAACAATGGAAATGATGGTTCTCTTGATGACATATGCGATGACAGCTTTGATGACATATGTGATGAACGATTTGATGCAATTTTGGATCAACGGTTTGATGAGGTGTTCAACAACTACCTTGCACGACAAGCATCAAAAAAAGCCAAGAAGAAGAGGGCCTACATTGAAAGAGAACGCGAGGTGGGACACCAATGCTTATGGAACGATTACTTTAGTGAAAATGCTACGTATCCTTCCAACATTTTCAGACGCCGTTTCAGAATGCACAAACACTTGTTCATGCGTATTGTAGATCAACTAACCAATGAAGTGCCTTATTTTCAACAAAGAAGAAATGCTTCTGGCAGGTTGGGTCTATCTGGTCTGCAAAAATGTACAGCCGCTATTCGTATGATGGCCTACGGTTGTGCCGCAGACGCGTTTGATGAATACCTCCGGCTCGGTGAAAGTACGGCAATTTTATGTTTGGAAAATTTCACGGCAGGAATAATACATTGCTTTGGAGATGAATATCTAAGAAGACCCACTCGAGAAGACCTACAACGACTTCTTGATTTTGGAGAAAGCCGCGGATTTCCTGGGATGATAGGCAGCATCGACTGTATGCATTGGGAGTGAAAGAATTGCCCAACTGCTTGGAAAGGGCAATATACTTGTGGTTCCGAAAACCAACAATTGTGCTAGAAGCTGTGGCATCTCATGATCTTTGGATTTGGCATGCATTTTTTGGACCACCAGGTACCCTCAATGATATCAATGTTCTAGAACGATCACCTGTTTTTGATGACATTTTGGAAGTCGGGCCCCAAAAGTTAGGTACTTTGTCAACGGGAATCAGTATCGTTTCGCATACTATCTCACCGACGGAATTTATCCGAAATGGGCAACATTTGTCCAATCTATACCGGTTCCCCAAGGTGAGAAAGATAAATTATTTGCTCAAAAACAAGAATCTGTCCGAAAAGATGTCGAAAGAGCTTTTGGAGTCTTGCAGGCACGATTTGCAATTGTTAAAAATCCAGCTTTGATATGGGATAAGGAAAAAATCGGAAGGATAATGAGAACATGTATCATCTTGCACAATATGATAGTTGAAGACGAACGAAACGGATATACGCTAGAAAATATTGCAGAATTCGTTCATGGAGAAGGAACCAGATCGTCTCAAGTGGATATGCAATATTCTACAAATAGGCCTACCAATATAGACAATGTGATCGGTATTCGTAATGATGTTCATGATAGAGAGACACATTATCGTTTAAAAGCAGATTTAGTTGAGAATATATGGCAGCAATTTGGAGGGAATGACAATTATAACTAAATTTGTATTTGTAATATCAATAAATATTTTGATTTTCATTTCATGTAAACCAGTTTGTGTTTTTTTCAAAAAAAATGTATGTTTAAATTATTTTTTACGAAATAAAATTTTTAAATATAAAAAAATATTATTTTTTTATTCCTATGAACTCCCAAAATCGGGTTCACTGATGGACACAAATTAAAACACAAAGTTCATCACTGTACACATACTTTAGAAATATTAATAAAAAATTGTTAACAACCCTAAATAGGGTATGACTGCTGGAGATGCTCTAATAAACTCTACATAAAATAACTTTTTATAAAGATTTCAATCTAAAAAGTGAAAGGGTTTTCTTTATTGATTGAAAGTTGAGTTTAAGTTTATTAAATTTTCTATATAAACTGTGGAAAGAATTCATATACCTTCATCACCACCCAAGAACAACAAAACTAATAAGCCTATTGTCCTCTCGTCTCCAAAATGCAGTTGAGATGTTTGAAACTAACAAGCCGGTTGTCTTCTCGTTCCAAAATGCTGTTGAGATGTTTGAATACAACCACAGATAAACATGGATAGAACTTATTTATATTTCTGATTTTTTCTTAACTCTTTGTTAAACTTCTCTAATTTCAGGGTTGAAAGAATGACATTCAACTGAAAACAAAAAACAGTTTTAACTTTTAAGAATTTTGTGACTGATTGTTTTGTATAAACCAAAACTATATCAAATATGTATTACTCATTTGCAAAAAAAATGCATGTATTTAATTGATCTTGTTGGAGGGATAAAGTATTATACATTCTTCTGAAGCAAGTTAAACAAACACGAGGTGATTGCTTGGCAATTTTATATTATAGGCAGTGGTATAGCCTTAGGAAAAAAAAATTTCGACACAACAGTTAAAGATGACCGATATCACTAACGGAGTCCCTCCCACTGCACAAGGCCACGAGGAAGAAGTGAGGGAAAAGGAAGATACTGAAGCAGTTCAAACAAGTAGGAGGAAATAAAATCGAGCCAAAAACTCAACCCAGAGGTACCTGGATTATCAGATTAAAATTATCGAAAACAGAAATGTAACAGGTTCTTTTGGTCCTTATGTTCCAAAACTATGTATAACAAGAGAGTTTTATGAATCAATGAAAGGCATGTCAAAATTTCTAAACTCAAATCTCCATCTCGCTATATTTGTATTACACTATGATAATAGACCTCCACACCCAAAAGAGTATTTGATCCAAGTTCCTGAGTGATGTGATCTTCCCAAAGATCGATACTCAGAAGTTGGTAGAAGGGGATAAGCTTGTCTCAAAGAAAATGTGAAGTCTCAATGAACAAAGATGTGGAGCGAATGGTTATACAGAAGTTGTGGAAGACTCCTGATTTACCAGGTGGCCGTTAGATATGTCACACCAAGACGGATCGGTTGTGACCATGGATATTATACACTATGATCTGAACAATGGATATTACACATTATGATTAAAAAATGAGAATCACTCTCAAAGGTTTCCGAAAATAATAATTCAAATCTTATTTCTCAATGAGATTACACTTATTTAAAAAGAAAAGAAACTTCTAATGAGAGCTAAATAATAAATCTACCCTACATGCACATAACCTACAAAATGATACATTTAATGCAAGTCATGAATGTAGAAGAAAATAAAACCTCCAAATAAATCTTTATCTTTAATTTTATCACTTGTTTGTCCAAAAAATGAGAAAATAAAGTAATTATTTTGGGTTCTTCTTGGGCTTCAAACAGGCTCAAAATAGGTTGGACTTGATAGCTAACATCATAGGTGGATTTCTTCATCCTCTTCTGTCCAGATCTTAATAAATCAGTTTAAATAAAATAAGTTTTGAAGCATTGGCTTTTCTCAATTTCTAACTGGTACAAGCATCACTTCTTCTTCAAGTTCTTTGCTGCTGAGATTTTATGTTTCTCAGGAAGCTAATCATTTACATGGTCAAGTACCCAAGTTTGGAGTTTTAAGAATTAAACAGCGAAGGACATAAGACATCCTAGAATGAGAAGCACATAACCCTAAAGAGAATCATTTGATTCCAGCTAATAACTTTTACCGAGAAGCTACAAGGAACTCATGAATTCAACTCAGTAAATTCTTGTTAGAGTACTGAGAAAAGACCAGTGAACATTACCTGCGATGAAATAAGGATCCAGTGACGATAGAAGACCTTCAAGATCCCATTCCAGCCCACTAGAAGAAGAAGGACTTTGTACCCAAACCATTCCAACGATGTAACACTAAGAGTTTTCTTTCCTAGAAACTGATATAACCGTCCAACCAAGACTCAGATTCATTGGAAGACACAGACGTCTTAATCTCTCTCTTGTAAAATCAAAACTTAGTAAGAATTCAGAGTTCAATGTTTCATCAAAAGCAAGCCAGTATGTGTTTCCCTTCAAAGACACACCCTTTGATGATCCTACTAAGAAGCAGTCGAGAGCAACGACATCAAGAAGTACCCTCCATGAATCATACCTAAAATGATAAATTTCAGCCCCAACAAGTTTGTCGTTTTTGTGGTAATACCTCAAAATTTTGAAGATATGACAAAATTTGTTGTTTTCGTAACCTAGAGACTATCGTCCTTGGTGGTGCACAACAACAAACCACCACGTGGAAAACTTCCACTATATCGACTTGTTCTAAATTAGAATGAAATTTCTGTAGGCTAAGTGGAACCTTAAACTCTATAGAAGATGGATCAGAAACGTTGAGACTGTTGCTTATTATTATTGAGAAAGCTCTAAATTATTGGGAATCAATCCAAAGTCACACATCAGAAGTTTAGACTAATATGCTCTACTAGTCCAATGTCAATTAGTATGAGGTCTTTTGGGAAGGAGCTCAAAACCAAATCTTGCGGGTTTTGTAAGTTAGGCCCAAAGCGGACAATATCATACTAATTGGGGAGTTGGACATGGGCTTAGATAAACCCAATAAATGGTATCTGAGCCCAGGTTAAGAAAAAATGGACCTGGAAAAGTGAGTTGGACTGAATGTTTGGTGTGAGAGAGAAACCCTCAAGATAACCTTGCGAAGAAGTACAAGATGGGTACAAGATATCGCTGTAGGGGTCTTTGGCTTGAGAGGGAGATTGTTGGGAATCAATCCAAAGACCCACATCGAAAGTTTAGACTAATATGATCTAGTATATATTATATAAGTAATGTCCAACTTCAATTAGTATGAGGCCTTTTGGGAAGGAACCCAAAACCAAATCCATGCGGGCTTTGTAAGTTAGGCCCAAAGCGGACAATATCATACTAATTGGGAAGTTTGACATGAGCTTAGATAAACCTAATATAAATTCCTTCAACGAGACTGATAGAACCATGGACTGCTTTGGAGGTTTAAGCAAGTGTTGTTTCTCAGCGAATCCTCTGTCTATGACTAAACCGTTTTATTGTTTGCAAATAGATCGTAATCATATCAGAGATGTGGCTGGAACCTTAAAGAGTATTTCTTCTACCAATTCGGACAGAAGATGGAACATTATCATTGTGATATTGGAAGGAAGAAGGAAACGACTTTAGTAGAAACTAGGGTTTTGGTTTTTTCATGTTTGGCACCAATTGACTTGAACCAATATAGTCTTGTATTTAGATAAATAAACAAGAAACAATTTCTACTTATTACTCTTACCTTTTCCTACGTGGATTTTTTTAAAAAAATTTTCCTTTTTTTCTTTTCTAAATAACTTTGAAAAAGGAAACGAAAGCATGAATATATGTTGTCTAAAAATATAATTAAAAAATTGATTATCGAATAATATAAAGATCTTTGAGTTTTCAAACATAATAATAACCCATAGACCAAATCAGAGTTCAGAGCTTATAAGTTTTGGTTTGGGAAACACTGACTCTTAATGCTGGAGTTAGAGGCATTGTTCATATCCAGCTGATCCATCTAGACGAGTCTATTAATGTAATTAAATGAACATCATTTAACTGTTTCATCTGGATGATCCATCCAGATAAGCAAACGAACAGGCCCATTATTGGCAAGCGCTTCAAGATAAAATACGACTCAGTAGGAAGAGCAGATGGGAATGCATGACAAAAAAAAGAACAAATAAGTAAATATGCTCCATATTAGGTGACTAAATTATCTAAACTTAAGAATTGCGCTCCGTTTTTTTTTTTTTTTGTCTTTACCTTTGTTGCGACAATTTGGCACAAAAAATAAATACATGACAAAAGAAAGAACAAACAAGTAAATATGCAAGAAATAGACTATAAGTACTTGACTAATTAAGTTGCACCAAACGTGGAAC